GGGCCCTTACCTGGTAAAATAAACCAAAAAATTATTCCGTACATGAATATACAAGTTCCGTTAGCAGCTAGCAGCAGCAGCAGCACCTGTTAAGGCCGGAACTATGACACACAAGTGGGATAGGGTGGGTTGGCCAGGGACCATGTCCAGCATGTACAGCGTGAATTGAAGTATACCGTGTCAACCCATACGGCTCACCCCGTATTATTGTACAGGGGAAATTTAGTGTATAGGTCCATACGGCGTACAGCCGTTTCAACACGGGAAACTAAAGCATATCATTGTGTCTAATTTTTTGTGTTTCTCCCTTGTGATGAGACGTTGTGGGATGAACGTTGAGATTTAAAAAGGGGCACGCGGTGACCAATGAGGTCTGAATTGGTTTGTGATAAGGTAGGGGCACTGATAAGGGGTTGACAGGTATGTAGTAGTGTTGTGTGTAGCGTAGTGTGTAGTGTAGTGTATAGGATGAACATTGAGATTAATAAGGGCCACGGGGTGACCAATAAGGTCTACATTGGTTTGTGATAAGGTAGGGTACTGATAAGGGGTTGACAGTTATGTAGTATTCTTAGCTCTTTCGGTAAAGTCACGTTGAAGGGAAACAATAAACTAATAAAACATATATAAAACAATAAAAATTCTCAGGTGTGACGACCGTTTGCATTATGGTCGAAACGTCGTGAGAATTTTGTTTTATATATTTTATTATTTTGTTTTCTCTTCAACGTGACTTTACCGAAAGAGCTAAGAATACGAATTACTGCAGTCACGAAAGCTTCAAATCAAAATTATGTAGTAGTGTCGTGTATAGCGTAGTGTATAGCGTAGCGTAAAGTAGTGTATAGTGTAGTATACAGGATGAACGTTGAGAGTTTTAAGGGGCACTGATAAGGGATTGACAGGCACAAAGACGTTCAACTTCCGCACGGGTACACCGCATAAGGGGCCACCCATTGAGTAGGACCGCAAAAATCTGTCACAACTTGACCCCTCACGCCCCCTCCCTGTACACACACGTACTTTTTATACCCCCCACACACAACCTGTGTAGCTACGCCTGACGCACCCACCCGAATCCTAAAGAACGTCCGATATTTAACCCACGCAGAAACGATCATCAAGGATGAATGATATTCACGTGGTTCAAGCTATACAGATAGTCCACACCGCCGGACTAGCTAACTCATTTGAAGGCCAATGTAGACAAATTATCGAAGCTTCACCCTCCCCCCCTCCATGCGTACGGACTAAATGGATAGCCCCTAACCACACGTGGAGGGTGGTGGTTGGGGAAAAAAATGACGCGAACCAAGGCAGCCTCGCACTGGCAAATCATCATTTATATAATTGTGTTCGTTGGGAGGAGGTGGAACCGTGTCATTAAATCAACACGAACACCGCTGAATGTTTTTTTTCTGTTTTTTTCGTTCGGCAGCAAAAAAAACAAAAAACCTCCCCCCAGAAACTCCAAAAAACAACCGAACGCGGCCGCAAGCACTCGCGACGAACGGACGAGGTGGTGCGCGTGCAGACCTTGGGGGGGGGGCAAAGAGACACAAAGAGAGACAGAGAGAGACCGAGCGAGAGACACAGAGAAAGAGACACAGAGAGAAAGACCGAGAGACAGAGAGAGAGACCGAGAGAGAGACAGAGCGATAGAGAGAGAGACACAGGGACAGAGAGAGAGAGACAGAAAGCCAGAGAGAGACCGAGAGAGAGACAGAGCGATAGAGAAAGAGAGACAAGGACAGAGAGACAGAGACACAGAGACAGAGAGAGACAGAAAAAGCCAGAGAGAGACCGAGAGAGAGAGAGAGAAACCGAGAGAGAGAGAGAGACAGAGCGATAGAGACAGAGACACAGGGACAGAGAGACAGAGACACAGAGACAGAGACAGAAAGCCAAAGAGAGACCGAGAGAGAGAGAAACCGACAGAGAGAGACAGAGCGATAGAGACAGAGAGACAGGGACAGAGAGACAGAGAGACACAGAGACAGAGAGAGACAGAAAGCCAGAGAGAGACTGAGAGAGAGAGAGAAACCGAGAGAGAGAGAGACAGAGCGATAGAGACAGAGACACAGGGACAGAGAGACAGAGAGAGACACAGAGACAGAGAGAGACAGAAAGCCAGAGAGAGACTGAGAGAGAGAGAGAAACCGAGAGAGAGAGAGACAGAGCGATAGAGACAGAGAGACAGGGACAGAGAAAGACACAGAGAGACACAGAGACAGAGAGAGACAGAGAGAGACAGAAAGCCAGAGAGAGACCGAGAGAGAGAGAAACCGAGAGAGAGAGACAGAGCGATAGAGACAGAGACAGGCACAGGGCTAATTGCCTTCCCAAAAAGGCTCCCCCCCAGCCCAATCAACACTGGTTCATATCCTCGCGTAACTTTCACGCCATATATTAATTTACCCAATCCCATCGCCCTCCTCCCATTTCCCCCCCCCCCCACCCACCCCTCACCCCCCCTAATCTCAGTTTCATTGAACAGACGGGCACACAAACCCAACCAACCAAACCCAACCACGACCCCACCACCAAAAAACAACCAACACACAAACACACAACCAGGTCGCTTGAAATCAGTGTTCGGTCACTCATTCTCAGAGACCCGGCGAAGTGGGGGGAGGGGGGGCTGGAGGGGGGGGGCTTGGGGTGGGTTTGGGGGGCTTGGGCCCTCCCGCCCAATCCCCCCCCCAACTTTCGCCGATAAGACGTCATCAGTGGCGTGTTCAAGAGGGCCGTCGCACGCCTTCTGAAATTATTCTGTCGGGAGTGGTGGGTGGGGAGGGGTGGATGGGGAGGGGTGGGTGGGTGGGGAGGGGTGGGTGGGGTTTGTGTTTGGCGATGGGTGGTGATGGTGGTGATGGTGGTGGTGTTGGTGGTGATGGTGGTGGTGTTGGTGGTGATGGTGGTGGTGATGGTGGTGGTGATGGTGGTGATGGTGGTGGTGATGGTGATGACGGTGATGGTGGTGGTGACGGTGGTGGTGGTGATGGTGGTGGTGATGACGGTGATGATGGTGGTGATGACGGTGATGATGGTGGTGGTGGTGGTGATGATGGTGGTGGTGGTGATGGTGGTGGTGGTGATGGTGGTGGTGACGGTGGTGATGGTGGTGACGGTGGTGATGGTGATGGTGGTGGTGATGGTGATGATGGTGGTGGTGACGGTGGTGGTGGTGGTGGTGTGCGCCCGCACACTAAAAGCCTTGCAGTGAAGTAAACGCTGCCGACCGGTACGTGGAACGTCCAGTCCCCTTTCGGAGTCTTTTCTTGGGGCCGTCTTGGCAAATGGGCGGCCTCTCGCCTGTGTGTGTGTGTGCGTGCGTGTGTGTGCGTGCGTGTGTGTGTGTGCGTGTGCGCGTGTGTGTGTGTGTGCGTGTGTGTGTGTTGTACCGACTCGACCCCACCTTCACGAGGTGCACGCAAACGGCAACACCCCCACCAACCTCCCACCACCCTCGGCGAGTCCGCACGAGCCGGGTGCAACCACTCCCCCCCCACCCCACTACCACCACCGGCTGGTGCGGGTGGGCGGGCGCGCTCACTCCACGTTACCATGGCGGTGGGAGGAGGCGACCACCTGACCCACCGGTCCCGGTCGCTCTACGTTGCACGCGGCTGAACCCGGACGCGGAACGCCGGGGAGATTCTGGCGACAGCCGTCGAAATCGACTCCTCCTCATCCTCCTCCTCCTCCTCCTCCTCCTCATCCTCCTCCTCCTCCTCCATCGGCGGATGACGAGGACCCAGCCGCCACCCATCGCCGTCATCATCGTCGTCGTCATCGCCACGATCTATACCATCTTCACCATCATCATCATCGCCACGATCTATACCATCTTCACCATCATCATCATCGCCACGATCTATACCATCTTCACCATCATCATCATCATCGCCACGATCTATACCATCTTCACCATCATCATCATCGCCACGATCTATACCATCTTCACCATCATCATCTTCACCACGCTCTATACCATCTTCACCATCTTCACCACGATCTATACCATCTTCACCACGATCTATACCATCTTCACCACGATCTATACCATCTTCATCATCATCTTCGCCACGCTCTATACCATCTTCACCACGCTCTATACCATCTTCACCATCATCTTCACCACGATCTATACCATCTTCATCACGCTCTATACCATCTTCACCATCATCATCTTCATCTTTACCATCATCACCACGCTCTCTACCATCTGCACCATCATCATCGCCACGATCTATACCATCTTCATCGCCACGATCTATACCATCTTCACCATCAATGCCACCCCATCTCTACCACCTCCACCATCGCGGCCATCACCGCCATCTCCATCGCCAGCCATCATCATCATCATCTCCACCACCACCATCGCCATCTCCGCCACCATCGCCCGCCTTCCCTTCTAACGAGACTTCCAACAAAGCCCCTCGCTCTACGCCACCCCCATCGCTCACCCAGCGCACACCACCACCCCACCCCCCCGCTCCCCCCCCCCCCCACGCGCTCACCCTGGTCAGCCTCGCCGCCCTCTTCACCGGCATCGTCGTCGTCGCCGCCATCACCGTCTTGGCCGTCATCAACAATTGTTCGCCCGCAAGTCGAAGGGCGGAGGGCGCCGGCGCTGGAACCCCGGCGCTGGAACCCCGGCGCTGGAACCCCGGCGCTGGAAACCCGGCGCTGGAACCCCGGCGCTGGAACCCCGGCGCTGGAACCCCGGCGCTGGAACCCCGGCGCTGGAAACCCGGCGCTGGAAACCCGGCGCTGGAAACCCGGCGCTGGAAACCCGGCGCCGGTAAGCGTTCATCACCATCGCCATCGCCGCCATCGCGGCAGCAAACAGCGGCGGCGGCGGCCACCCAAAAGTCAAAAAACAAACGCACCCCGAGCAGCGACAATCCCGCCGGTGCCCCGACACCGCTGCCGCTACACCCCCCCCCCCCCCTTCCCCTCGCCCTCCCTCCCCCTCCTCCCGCGGCGGCGAGCTAACGCCGCGAGGGCCCCAGCGAGACGCCGCCGCCGCCGCCGCCGCCGCCGGCCCCGGCCGCCCCGGCCGCCGCCGTTCCGGGCCTCCGTGGCTGCCAGTACTGGCCGTGGAGGGTGAGGGCGTCGACGCTCACGGACATGCTCCGCGCCGGGATGGCGGTGAACTGCTTGCGGTCCGAGCTGTACTTGTAGAGCTTGTCCACCATGCGGCGGGCGATGGCGCGCGGACCCGTGCCCGTCAGCTTGCTCATGTCGTCGCCGTCCGGCTGGTACGTGTAGAGCGCACGGAACTGGCAGCCCGCATCGCGGAATAGGATCACAAAGTGGTTCGCCTCGCTCCGCTCCAGCTCCTGGCGTGGGTGGGGGGGGAGGTGGTGGGGGGGGTGGTGGGTGGGGGGGGGAGGGGGTGGGGGGGTGGTGGTGGGGGGTTTGGGGGCAGAGACGGAGAGGTTTGCTGTGGGCGGAGTTGTTGTTGTTGTAGTCGTGCGCTGCTGTTGGTGTTGTTGTTGTTGTGCGCTGCTGTTGGTGTTGTTGTCGTGCGCTGCTGTTGTTGTTGTTGTTGTCGTGCGCTGGTGTTGTTGGTGTTGTCGTGCGCTGCTGTTGTTGTTGTTGTTGTTGTGCGCTGCTGTTGCTGGTGTTGTTGTTGTTGTCGTGCGCTGGTGTTGGTGTTGTTGTTGTGCGCTGCTGTTGTTGGTGTTGTTGTTGTTG